CACAAATAAATAAAAACAAACGATGTCATAAAAATGCATAAATAAACGAAAAAAGCACAAATAAATAAGTAGATATTAAATTCAAAATGTAAATAATAATAAAAAAAATTGTCAGCAACATTTACCTTCAAAGTCCCACCAACGCCTGAAATTCATTATAGGAAATTTGTGTGTCACGTGACCTATATTTTCTCGATAAATTTAGCGGGGAAACTGAATGATTGTATAGATCACGTGACGTCAGGTCACGTGATGTCAATTTCCCCACTTAATTTAGCGGGGAAACTGGATTGGCATCGCGGTTACACGTGCATTTTCCCGCTAAATTTAGCGAGTAACGGTGTGTAGGTCATGTGGCGTCGATTTCCTGCTAAATTTAGCGGGGAAACTGTCTGTCTATGCTGGAAAAAGCGGTGGAGAAACTGCATCGTGACGTCGCCGGTGGAGGAGCCTAATCTCCATCGCCAACAAACTACATCGGAAGAGAACTGCACCGTGACGGTGTCCGGTGACGTCGCCGAACAGTGGCGATTCAGTTGAAACTACATCGTTTCTTTTTTCCCTACAGGGAATTTCGGAGAATCGCCGCCGAGTAGGCTAGCGCACACCAGCTCGGAGCACGTGCAGCGAAAGCTCGCGCTGCAGAACCCAGGGATCCTGGGTTCAATCCCCGCCCCTGCCAGCTTCGATCTGGATGAGCATCGTACCGGCGTGCGGTCGTGCATCACTACTGCCTGATGCACGTTAAAGACCCCAGGCTAGCGGTTGTACTGCACTGGCTAAATTTCTCATCTACAGTGGGTAACAATGTCGCCATGTTCAAGCAGACTAACCTCCTGCTGTATAAACAACTAACGACAAATTTTACTTTTTGACTATGTTTGACTGCGTTAGTGCAACTTCTCTCGTGCTGCACGAGAAAGAAAAAAGGTTCCATCGGGGGTTAAATGTTCGGTGAAGTAGAAAGCAAAAAAGAAGAAAAGAGAATATTCCCCTCAAGTAGAAGAGGAGGAAAAAGAAAATCAGTTGTTAGTCCCACGGTGTGTATGGTCTTTTCTTTATGTGCATGTTTATTCTAATTCAGCTGACCTTACCTGAAGTAGTTGCTTTAAAATAAAGCATACCTCTCTCTCTCTCTGCCTGAAGTATGAACGAATTAGCTCAACTTAAGCCTGTCACCAATGCTTGCTTGGCTTTTCGCTCAGCCAAATCGCCTATATGGGGTGCACTCAAATGAAAACACAATCGTATTAAATCGTGTAAGAGTATTTAGAATATTTATCGATAACGCCGCTGAACTAGCATCGCTCGAAGAACTTCCTTTTTGTGAACGCCTTCTCTGCTTGAATTTGTTGGAAACACAGCCACTTCGATCCGAGGCAATCGGTGATAGGGTTTGTGCCATCACCAAGTACGCGACTCACAGAGCACTGGTGAACACCAATGTTTTCGTCGCTCGCGGCGGTTCCCTGGAAGCCGCCAGCGGCGTAGAAACGTAGAGCTGCGAGGACTTGTTGTTCGACCGTCAGCACACGGGGCCCTTCACGACAACGCTGAAGCTTTCCGCGAAGCTGGTTGCACAGCCAGCGAGTCCCCCCTTTGGTCAGCCGGTATTCGCCCACAAACCTCGCATCGCTCGTCTAGAAAGCATCCCGGTGATCTCTAAAAACTCGATCCGCTGGCGAAGCCAACAGTAGAGATGCACATGTTAGGGCCGCCATTTTTTAAGATGCAGATTGATCTCTGGCTTCGTCTCGACCACTCAGTTAACTGCATCGTCAAAGTGCATCGTGACGACATTTTGACGTCACCGCCAACTGCACCATTTCACGAGCATAGCTCGAACTGCATAGGGAAAAACCAGAGCCTTTTATACCGGGAGAGTTCGGCGGGTGGGAGGGGCTTACGGCCCGCTAGGTCTAGCGGACTCAGCGGGCGCCGCTTCCGTCATGATGTGCTGTTATGACCCGTCTACATCTCCCTGTACTTGTGAGGATTGACCTTGCATTCTGGTGCGGACGACGACCAAGCGAACGTCGAGACGGTTGGCGTGCGATCCGAACCCTTTTTGCACGTTCGACCGAAACCGGAGAAGCGTTTCTCTCGGGCCTCGGCTCAAGGGCATCAGAACCGAAGTGGCCGTCGGTGCGTTCTGTTTACGGCGTCTGCATTCCACGGAGGCGTCTGCATTCCACGGGAGCGCCAGACAGAATCCCACCCTGAACAGATGGGCAGTCTGTTGTGTCTGCGTCTACCGCATGCAAGACAATCGCCTACTAGTCGCCCTCAATTCGGAGAAGAACAACGACCGAACATCGGAGCCGAGAGGAGGAGGCTGACGTCGAGGCCAACGTTGGAATGCGGCGTTAACCAACCAATGGCACGGCAGCTCCAGAACCCCGATTTCATTATATAAGGACCTGTTCGCTGCACATTCGGCGCGCTCCTTCTGCCAATATGCTAAACGATATACCCATGTAAATAAACTAGTTTTCTGTCCTGTCAAGTTTTCCCAATCCGTTTCCCGACTGTCTGACTGGGACGTTGTTCGCGAGAAAGGTTGGACGCCAGCGAGATGGCCATGCTACCCGAGAGACCAGGCTGGGCGTCGACTCATAACAGTGCCTCCCGGCGAGTGGGTCCCCATTGACATGCGATGTATACGCGTGTAGGTTTTGCCGTTTGCGCTTTTGTTGGCGTAGGGAGAAAGTCGAAAAATCAAGCATTTTGTTGCGTTAATCATACGTTAATCATAAACTTACCTCGCACAATCGAGAACTCGGCTTCCAGTCAGCCCTTCTTGGTTTGGTTTCCCAGATCTTGTGCCTTGCGCGGTTTTCTTTTCCTTGCGGGAACCGGTACATCCTGAACCCCTTTTTCGCGTTGTTCGAGCACCCAACGGCACTGCAGCCCCCCATTTCTTTTTCATCTAACGTCTGGCAGAGCGCACCGCAGAACGATCATTTTCATCGTCGTCTCTCGCTCCATGGACTCTAGCGAGCCGACTGCCGGCTCGAGTCAGTAGGGCAAACGGGTTTTATCAGCCGCCACCAGCCTTACACCAAACAAGGGTGAAGCTTGCAATTTAAGGTTATAATTATAATGCAATTAAATGCAAAGGTGCAATCAAGCTAGACGGCAAGGCACATCATGGCGGATGCGCACAGTTGCCGGACTGTTTGATCAGTGCTGCCAGACTGGCGGCAGGATCAAAGAACCGCCGAACTCTCCCAGTATAAAAGGCTCTGGGAAAAACTACATTTCAACGTCATGTCACGTGACCCGAGAATAGCCAATCAGTTCCCAATGCAGTTTTCTACATCATTTAGTTTGCGTTCCAGCGTAGATAGACTGGATTCATGTTTTGGCCACAACACGTGAATTTTCTCGCTAAATTTACGGGGAAACTGAGTTGACGTACAGTTCACGTGCCGTAAATTTTCCCAAGGTGTCAATGTCACGTGACATCAGGTGACGTCTTGTGAAGCTTCTTTCCCCGCTAAATTTAGTGGAAAGTGCACGGACGGATGGACGGACGGACGGACAAAATTTTTGTGATTGGTGTATTTCGTGCTTTAATAAATGCACCACCACTGGAATGGGATGCGGCGTCGAAGACTTGGAACGGACGCTTGGTAAATGTTGGGAAGGCGTTCCCGAAGTTGATAGTCGTCAACAAAAAAAAAGAACTGGTGCGCATTAGCGAAGGATACCTGCTCAAAATTGCGACACAGTCGTTCCATCACGAGCTTAACAATGGCCGCCGGTCGCCACGGACGTTCTTTCCCGACCCCCATCGTCATGAACGTGTGTTCGTCCCTCCCGAAACTTTATGCAGCTTCCGCCATGCTAATTCTGCAGTACAGCCAGGCCCTCTGTGGCGAATGACGGTTTCGCTGACGCGTGAGGAAATGACTGCAACGATAACCAGTCTTGTACAAGTAACTCGAAAAATGTGATCGATTCCAATTCCAATTACTCTCGGTTAAAAAGGGTCCTCTTCTGATTACTTCCGATTTTCAAAACAAATGTTTCTACCGGTTTAAAAACGTTTCATACAGTTCATTATTAGACTGGTATCAGAGAAATATAAACTACTTATCTTCTAATCCTCTAACGTTTGTAAAGAAACCCTTTGTCGGAGACTTTGTTCGTGGATTCTTTTGTAGGAAACTTGTAGAAACAAAGAGGGGCATTGGAAAGAGGCGGGGAAAAAAGTAACGTTTAAAAGTTATTTTAATACTTCCAAAAGTAATGAGATTACTATTGTGATTACTTCCTAATAAATGTAATGATGTGATTACAAAGTTTCTCCAAAAATAATCGATTATAATTAATTTATTACTTGTAATGACGTACAAGTAATTATCCAGGCGGCAAACTTTTTTCGGAGAGATCATCCAAAAGCTTGCGCCCCGTCATAAGTGCCTTAATCTGCAAACGTGTGTGGAGAAGTTACTACAGATAGTTTCAATCGGCTGTTCTTAATTTTTTTCCCAGTTCACCCGATGTTAAAAAAAGAAACGATTCTCCTATTTACAAGGCATTCATCCCATAGCCTAGAGCCTAGATTTTCGTAATTTACCACGAGACTGGTGATACTAACAAGAAAAAGCAAATAAGGCTCACAGATGTGTGTGTTTGTTCGTTTCTTTTATTTTCCCGGCGGGTAAATTATGAAAGTCGTGCACCAGATTACTTTGTTCAGCATCGCAGCGGTAGAATCGCGCGAAGCTGCATATATAAGACGTTACGTTAACAAGGAAGACGGATATCACCGCACTATGCGTCCGTAGACCAAAATACAAAAACAAAATTACAACAAGATAAAGATAAAAAAAGTTTCCGGGAAATATCGGGAGAGGAAACGCCGCTGCTCAAAATAACCCGGAGCGACTAACGACACGAATCCATTCGGAAATTTGCAATCCGCAGCCAGTCGTGGAAAAAAAGAACCCGTGATTGGAAGTGCAGGGATGCCATACAAAGCGAAGATTGCGCAGTCTCCTCCACGGGGCCATCCTCGCTGCTCCACTGACCCAAGTGGAGCCAATGGCCGTGCCTAACGGGCGGCTCGTCCATCTGGCAGATTGTGGGACGACACGCAGACGCCAGGAGAGTTGGCAGAAGTCACGTGACTCGGCCAGGATGTCCTTTTTAAGAGGCCGCGGACGCCAGGAGATGGAAGGCTGAGGATGTCTTCAGGCAGGACAGTCCGGATCATCCTGCTGCCTGTCCTCGCCGTGGCAGGTGAGTTGGTATACCACAGATGCAAGTATCAAAAGCCCAAGCCGCGCTGCTGTTCATACAGCGTACAAAAGATACGGTGTTTTCTGCAGACACGATGACAATAGTCTGCGGATACGCCTCATGCATGTTCGAAGCATGTATTTCTTCACACGGATGAATGGATGGGTGGATGTTAAGGGCTATATCCTTTGTAACGGGCGGTAACTTGCGCCACCTTGTACACATATGTACTGTTCGAACATCTTTGCAGGCAGTTCTTGTATTACGAATCTGACGAGACTAATTCAAGCAAGAAACACGCCTCGACGGTGTCACCTGATTGTCTTTTGTATGATGTATCGGCAGTGGGATCGCGGCTTTATTGGCGTATCATGGGCTTGGAGGATGGAGATTGTAAACTAAATGAATGCAACGGCTTAAGCACCATGATTGGTCGATGAAGATGTTAAGCACGCCTCACGTCTTCGTGGTATAATTCTGGGGGTCAGATTGTACGTATTCCATTCCAGCCCTCGGTCAGGTGCTCAAGACCAACCATCCTCCTCCATTCAGTTTCAAGAGCGGCGTCGTTCGACTCATCGTGAAGTGTAAGTGTAAATAGCTATTGTTCAGAATACTTAATTTTTTTTTGTGCTTAAAGGATATCACTTCCAGCACGTCTTGAGTACATCCACTCCACATTCTCTGATGATTCATCCTTTTTTGTATGAGTACTCTTTGAGTGCTTACCAATGGATTCACCATATTCTACCACCTCGAGTATTTCTTAATTACGTTTAGTGGTCAATAGCTCCAATTAACGAAGGAACCACACGCTTGATCATCACAAACCATCGCATCACAAACCAAAAGCTGGTATTTTAGTAAGGAATGTCTTTCATTATTGTTCAACCGATGTATGATAAGTAGGAATTCTGCGAACTTTTTTCGAACCGAAGTTTCGATGATCGAATCAAGCGGTCCGAAAGGTTCAAAAGATTTCGATTTTTCGAACTTTCCACATCGAGAAGTTCAACGGAATTCGAATTTTCGAACTTATTAAACTAAGGAGTTCGACGCTTTTTCGAAATTTCAAACTTATTACGCTGCAAATTCGATGCTTGTCGAACTGTCGACCTTGACAAACTAAAAAATCGGATGATTTTCGAACTTTCGGACTTCTTGCACTAAAAAGTTCGAAGCTTTTCGAACTTTCGAACTTCCATCGCTAAGAAATGCGATAATTTTCGAACTTTCGAACTTATTGATCTAAAGAATTCGAAAATTGTCGAACTTTCGATTCCTGAAAAGTCAAAAGTTCGACGAACTTGGACCTTATAGGATAAAAGTTCGAAGTTCGTCAAACTTCGAAAGACCGGCGGGCGGTTTCATTTGGATTCAAGCAGTGAGGTACATTCGTAATTTTTTTTTGCGCAATTTTACATGCGGTGCCGCATTCTTTGCGAAAGACAATGCCATTTATTTCAATCATCTGGCATGCTTGGTTTTAAAGAAATAGATTCCCGAAGGAGCGAGGAAGGACGACGAGTTTTTGGCAATTGTCGTTTGTGCCATATTTGAAGCGCGCTATAGCCGAAGCTATTTATGGTAGAGATGTTAAACTTTTCTAAGAATGATCTATGTATAGCCTAGGTAAGTGTCGTCTTAAGATATGATTATTGTTCTTCAAGACGAGTTTCGAAGAAATATCCAAACATGTAGCTAGTGGCAATTATGCCCTAAACTTGGTAATTTGTTTCGCCTACATTGTTTGAGGTATTGCATTTAAATTAAAACTAGAGACAGTACATATCATTACCATCTGTAGAATACCAAACAATGTATTTATTGTTTTTTCACGTTGGAGGAATAAATTAACTCATGGGGGCAGATTTCGAAAATTGTTCAAGTTCAGCACGTCATAATTTTTTTTTTTCTCATTTTACGTTCTTGGGACGTGTATATTTTGGCCTGTGCACATTTCGATAGGAGAAATTTGTTTTAGCGAATTCGTTTCACACGCACTGGCACCGTTCGAGTTCTCTCCCAGAATGCATCGCACTCGCAGAGTGTTGCACGGGAAACTGGACTCAAACGAACTCTCCAAAGGCACCGAGCGCAGAAGACTGATGCTGCCGCCATCTATGTTGTAGAAAAGGTACCGGCCTCTATCGAAACTAGCGCCTTTCTGTTCGGAGTGACGAGTGGGAATGCGAGGATGCAGTCGCTACCAGCATTTATCTACAAACGCTGATCGCTGCAACCTGTAGTTTTAAGTTGCGATGACTTCAAGCAACTCGGCTGTCGTACAGATAGTTATAGACGGCGTAAATTTCCGCAACCAGCTGCCTACAAAGCAACTGATGATGCTGTCCGAGGAGGAGCCTGATCCGTTTGAGCATGGTAGTATGGTATTATGCGTGAACCACTGTAAGGGTACGGTAAACGGAAGGTGAACCGAAATTTGGATCGCAAAAAAACAATGCTGGATATGTAGGCGGGGAGCTACAATCCCTACAACACTACTAGTAAGGCGATATCTCAAATGGACGGCCATATTTTTGAAAAAAGAGGTCAAGATTGAACCAGGCCGACGAGGCGCGTGACCGTCAAGATACCTAGTTTCCTCCTCTCTTCGCTTCGCTCCCTCAATGCCGCGAGGCGGAAAAGACGCGAGGCCGTTCCCTCTAATTCTCGGAGAAACATGACGTCAACATTACTGCCAAATGCGCCTATTTTTTTTTTTTTTTTTTTAATATGGTCATTTGTTTGAAATATGGCTGTATGAGTGATGTTTTGGGGTTTGTAGCATCCCGTTGCACGCTTTTGCCGCCTGTTTTGGGGAATCCAGATTTCGGTTCAGAATCCCTTTAAAACTAGTCTGTTGGAACATCCAGCAAAACTTTTCGTGGGACTTTCGGTTTCGATCGTCATTACAGGTGGATCAGATATTAGCCTTGCTGAGGGCGTCAAGAACGAGAGCTTTTTCAAACCAAATACGACGGGGCAAGTTAGCTGACGTAGGTAAATGTTAAACATGATCAGGTTGCCCAAACCTCGGGTAAAGTCACTATGTTTAGCTTTCTCTGATGCTTACTGAACAGACAGAGGTTTCCGCTGGGGGAGTTTTGTCAACAAATGTTAAATTTTTCACCCACACACTGATGGTGATAAACATCTGGGGGACCGCTGATGTGTTTGTTCTCAGCATTTCTTTACACACTAGTATATTTCAGCGTTTGTATGGCAACAGAGCGACTTAAAACCTCAAAGTAGAGCACGGTTTGTCCATTGCTTTCGTCATGAAATAGCAGACGCTCACAATTCAAGCTCGCGTTTGATTCTGTTGCCCGCGGGACGCGATTTCTATCAGAAAATATTTTTTTTTTTCCCTATCGGTTTCGCGACACATCGTAGCTGACGAAGCCTCGTCGTCTGCTCCCGCTCCTCGCCGGCCTCGCCGGAGCGAGGCATGACGGGATTGCATTTTTTCGCACTCTCGATTTTGTCGGTGCAGCGAGTGCATGCACGCGTGGGGTGTCAGCGATGAAACAAACTCGGAGGGTGCAATTACTCATGGAGTGCCGGCCGAAACGAACCCGCTCGACGCTGCGAGTGGGCACGCGTGGGCACGAGTGCCGTGAAACGATCTCGCTAATAGTTCTGGGCCTCTGAATATGCAAGAATACAACACTTCCGGCGGGTTCTTGATAGTTTTTTTTCTCCAGCTTTTTATTTTTGCATTTATTGTTATGTTTATTTATTGATTATTTTTTTACCAATGGCACAGTTATTTAGGTCGAAAAGACATAGCTTCGAACTTCCGAACCACTAAGCATGTGACGAGTAGTGCCTTCTGACAACGAGTTTCTAACAATGACCATCTACGCGATCTTTTATGCAGTGAAGAGCGACAGTAGCTATACATATGCATAAATAATTTCAGATTAAAATAAGCTCGACCATGCCCTCTTTCTTCTTATTGTTTTCTGTAACAGTCCGAAATATCTGGGGGGGGGGGGGTGGGGGGGGGGGGAGACTGGAGCCCCCCCCCCCCTCCCCCTTCCCCCGTTTTTCTTCTTCCGACGCTGCTCGTATGGTAGAACTAGGGTGCCTTCATGTGCGCTCCTCGACCTCAAGTTGCGTCAGCTTCTGTGCTTTTTGCTCGGCGTTTCTTCCGCCCCAGAAAATAAACCTCCAAAGCAATTACAAACAAAAAAAATTGTCAAGGTGCAGGCGAGCTGGTGAATGTTGATCATGATGCAAAATCCCAAGACTGGGAATGCAATTCGCAAGAAATAGTGTAAGAAGAAAGAAAAAAGGGGACAGGACAACGTCTCAAACTCAGCTGAGTTGTGTTTGAGGCGTTCTCCTGAGCTGAGTTTTCAGCTGAGTTGAGTTTGAGACCTTGTCCTGAGCTGAGCTTGAGACGTTGTCCTGTCCCCCCCCTTTTTTTTTTTGTCTTTTTACACTTTTTCTTTCAAATTTCATTCCCAGTCTCATGATTTTGCATCATGTACAAACTAAAGTTACTATATGCCAGCGTCACTCGGGCGGTGTTTGATCGGATTACTACCAGCGTGCAAGGGGGTAGGGGGGCAGTTTGCCAGATCACTTCAAGGTTTTTCTGGTCCTCAACCACCTGCCTGCCCCTGGCCGTTTCGAACTGGATGAGTATCGTTAAACAGTGCGTTCGTAGGATCACTACTTCGTGATGCATGTTAATGACCACCCCGGGCTGGCGGTCACAATTACTGATATATTGTCAAACGTCACTCTGCACTGGCAAATATCCCAGCACATCCGGGACACTCGTTGTCTCATTTAATTGCCCGACCAAGTTCGCGCAGTTTAAATATCACACCCGAACTTTTCTAAACCTGATTTCGTGAAAACCAGTGAGGCGTGAAAACGTTATTTGAAACTGAAACTGTGGCGGAACATGAAAACCGGACTTCCAACTTTGCGCACTTGGACTTGGAAAAAAATGGAAACCTTCGAAGTTCTTTTTTTTTCAAATTTAGCTTTAAAAGAGAATCGAAACCTTGGAACTTTTCGAACTTTATGTAGAAATAAATTCGAAATCTTCGAATTTATCGACCTTTTTGTTTTTCAAAATTCGAAATGTTCGAATTTTAGGTCCAAAGAAATTCGAAACATTTGAATCTCTCGATTTTCAAATTAGGGAAGTTCGAAATCTTCTAATTTATCGAACCTCAAGTAAAGAAATATTCGAAATAATTGAACCCGAACTTTTAGAAACCGTGAAAGCTTCGAACTTTTCAAATTTCAAACCTCACAATTTTGGAAAGTTGCGAATTTTTCGAATTCGAACCTCCGAACGGTCGGAAATATCGAAACCTTTCGAATTCGAACATCAGTACGGTTCGAAAATTCAAAACCTTTCGATTTCAAACCTAGGGTGGTTCGCGGCATCCCTAACGATAAGTAACAAGAGGGTACTAAAATATCGTGTAAGTCATCTGTCCTTTGATTAACTAGTAATGTGTGTCTGATGTGGTTCCTCTACATGTTTTTACTTTCATACTTCTTGGTGCGCTTTGGATAACACTGAGGAACCCTTAAACAAGCTTAATCGCAACTGGATGTAGTGGGCATGCCAGACATCTGCCTGTAAGAATGCATAGTGTTTTGGTTGCCTATGAATGTGTGAAGATCATACAAACAGTCCATGTGGAGCAAAAGTTCGTCTGCTTTTTGCACACGGGTTGCTATGTTGTCAGAACGCTCAGTTGTTATTGGCTGATTGAAAAAACAAATAATGGGTAGACCTCGAGACATCTAGCAATGAAGTCTACCCACTATCCTTCCAATCAAAGCCAGTCAGAACTCGACGTCGTTCTGACGTCACTGCAACTCTTGCGCAAGAAGCAGACGACTTGCCATCCGGATAAGAATGGTGGCTCTTCGTAACGAGAAGGCAACAGTAGCTGGATGAGTACCTGATCCTTCATAGAAAGCGTGTGTTCGCAGACGCTTCATTAGAGAGCTTTAGTATGTAGTTACTCTACCACCGATAACGATACGATGCATTCGCAAAGGCAGCGGCGTAGCATCGGGTATTGTTATTTATTTATTTGGAATACTATCGGTCCTATACAGGACCAAGATACGGATGATATTGCACAATCACATGGAACCATGTGCACAAAATACACACATCCATTCGCAACTTACACGACCCATAGGGGGCACACTGGTGCCTATCAAAATGGCTGTCGTCTGGATGATCGTCGTGGAACGGCTGGGACTGCGACGCGTAATTCTAGTTTTGCTACGAGCAGTATTAGAGACTTACTTAACATATATATATTTTTTTTCACGTCAGGAAGGTGCAGGCAAGCAACTTTATTGTGCCGCCGATCATCCAGGAGCTATATGGAGCGCGAGTTTCACACCTCGCGGTACCACCATCGCTGAAAATTGCGAATACAGAAGTACGACACAGCAGTGGATCGATCTAGATAATGCTGGCAGAAATGTCTGAGATAAGGAAACTAAATTTATCCCGACTTCTAGCAGTCACAACATGTTCTGGGTGCTTCATTCTCGCGCTGTTTCGGAACGGTCATCAGAACTCTATTTTGTCATCATCGGGTGACAACATCACTCCTAGCATAATGCATAGACACATTGAGGACATTGCAACGTCTTATAAACGTCCCGTGGACGTCTTCAAAACATCGAATGCCTTATAAATGTCTCGTGAACGTCCTTGGATCGTTGGAATATCAGATAGTTGTCCCCATGGACGTCCTTAGGTCGTTGCAATGGCCTATGAATGTCCCGTGAGGTCATCAAGACGCTAACATGTATTATAAAATGCTTCTTGGACGTCCTCAGGACGTCGCAATGTCTTACGATTATGCATTCGACGTCCATAAGACGGTCTGTTACATACGACAGAGACAGAATAAGAAAGGGTCTTATTTCCGTCAATGTTATATCTGTGACTCAATGCTAACTGATGCGTTTACTCTGCGTGCAGTTAAAGAATATCCCCAATGCTGGATCAGAAACGTTTCGCGTTTTCAAATGGATGCTGAGATCCTGTATAAATAAAAACTCTAAAGACAAAAAAAATCTGAAATTACATTCATGGGTGACCGATTTCCCTATTAACAGTATAATCGAAGATCGCGACACGGCCCTCTTTCTGCGCCTTGGAGCAGCCACCCTGGGGACGCCGTCGCGCACTCTAAAAAATGCCTGCGCGTCTACTTACCCGCAAAACACTCAAAGAGCCAATCTCTGCAATCTACGAAATCAGCTCAGTGAATGATGAGGCGGAACATCTGTTTAGACCTCAAAATTAAGTCTGCGCTGTGGCATAAATTACGCAATGCAAGTCGTCATGCTTGCATTGCGTAATGCGACAGCGCAGACTTACTATTGAGGTCTAAACAGATGTTCCGCTTCATCATTCGCTGAGCTGATTTCGTAGATTGCAGAGATAGGTTCTTTGAGAGTTTTTCGGGTAAGTAGACGCGCAGGCATTTTTTAGTGAGTACGTCGTTTTCAACCAATAATTGCCGTATTGCGACACCTACGCCCAAAGATGTGACGTTCTTGTGAATATAATTCACAACGTGCCTAGAACGAGCAATAGTAGTAACGTTCGGAATCTCCACCTAATTATAACTATTTTCATTGGTCAACCTTTTTTGGAAGCGGTCAAGACCCGAGGATGTCCCCGTCAAAAGAAATTAGTGACCGTTTATTTCTATTGCTGTGACTTTACTAGGAGGTCTTGCCATCTAGAACTGGCCATTTTTATTGATGAAAGCCCAACGAGCAATACGCCATCAAAAACAAGCTTCTACAAAAAGCACTGGAGTGCCTCTTTAAATGCTACACTAAAGAAAAAATATGGGTCTGCTGAAAGGCGTGGTAGAGAGTTTAAAGAAAGCTCGGGTTAGTGCCCAACGCAAAGTTATATAAGAGCGCATTAAAGGACTGTGCTTTTATGAAGGAAATGCGAGCGAGTGCGGGGATCTCGCAGTATTCGCCTGCCTATAAATAGATCGAAGGCCCACGCTCGCTATACGTCGGGTGCTGGCTGCCGGAGTTCTGACTCTGCTGCGTTCCTCGGCCCAGCGTTCACAGACGAGCTGATCCGAGACCTGAGCTCGAGCTCGCTGCTGCAGCTGACCGATCCCCAGGCGCAGTTCCTGAGGCAGCGCCTGGACAAGCTGTACGAGCACGTCCGCCGTCACCCCGCGCTGCACCAGCGGTACCTCTGGGTCGGCAAGGACAGGCCCAACGTCAGTCCCGATGAGACACCCGCCGCCCGCCGCCAGCAGGTAACGCCTGTAGGCATTGACAGCTTAGCAGGGTCGTTGCGAGCCTGGAGCATCGTATCGTCGCCCACTAGCCAATGAGATTACCGAATTAGCCGATAAGGAGATGCAAGAACCAATCACGGACCGTGAACATGACAAACCATATGCCCTGCGTTTGTTAACTTGTACGTCACCATAATTAGAGACAGGTACCGTGTGTGCTTCTGGGAAGACTTGAAAAAATTCCTAAAAACAGGGTGGTTGAGAGAAACAAACTTTTCGGGAACAAACTGCCAGACACGGCGGACGTCAACTATTGTAACAAAAAATTAAACTCTGCACTAATTAGGTCAATAATTAACAAAACTTTACTCCCGGACATTTTGTTAGTTAAAGTAAACATATAACTTCAATTAGAATCCTGCCGTGGTCGTCATTGAAAACCACTAAATCACGTTGAAAATTACCCGCGACTGCGCCGGTAAAAGATGGGAAACTTTTTTTTTGTTTGTCTACTGAGTTTCTCTATCGTTTACCACAGTCTCGGATGATTTTTGACATGATCAAAATCCAACAGCTCACCTGCACACTCACTGTATTTAAACTAAATCGGTCAATAAAAAAAAAAAAAAAAAAAATTGGGGTGCGCCGATGCGCGCTAAATTTGTTACCCCTTGCGGTGCGGAAATTCAGATAATAAGAAACGGAAGGAACGCGCAGACGCGTCGAAAGTCAATGCATAATCCGGAATCCAGGGAGACGAAGCACACACCACAAGTATTTCTCCAATCGGCTGATTTGGTCGTTTTCCACGATGACCATTAATTTCCTAATAGAAATCGTGTTTTTTTTAATAATTAAACTTATTTAGTAAATCTTTGGAAATCAGTTAGCTAATTCATGTGTTTTTTGCAATCATTGCTGTCCGACATGACTGGCACGTTGTTCCCAAAAATATCTTATTTTTTGTTTTCTTAGCATTTTTTTTTATCAGTTTTTAAGTCTTCGCTGATACAGCAGACAGTTTTCCCTTGATGGTTGCCATATTAAATTCTGGCGTAGTTGGGCTTGAATCCCCAAAATAAAGTCTCGAGAGAACTAGGTTATAAAAAGAATATCGGACATTAATAGAATACCTAGAAGTAGTAACCTTTCGAAATGACGGTTGCCATGTTGAAATACGACGTACATAGTCGCGTTCTGCGACAAAAACTAAAGTTAAGAGTTTAATCATAACTGCAATGAAAAAAAAAAAGTATAGCCAAGAGAAGAGTAGAACCATTGGTACGAACCCCTTTAATTCTACCGCCTTTCATTCGCTAGACAAAGTTATTTGCTATTTCTCCGAAATTCGGCTGTACGTCACAATTATGGCGGCCCTCAGCAGACCCCACGCGATCTATTGGAACCAATCAAACAGCGTCGAAATCCAAGTCACTATGTCTTCCCCGTACATGACTGGTCCAGCAGTGATAGAGCATGCACATGAACATGACGAAGACCATGATGGTACGCTTTGGACGCTGTCTGATTGCTGCCATCAGCACGTAGCGTCGGCTACGTCTGGATCTAATGCCTTCCAATCGACACACATATTGGGGAGGAGATCGAACAGTCACGCCTCTGGCGGACGCTTCAGCAGTGGGGACAAGAAACCGAATTTTCTTGTTTGTTTTTGATCAGCGATATCGATGGTGACGATCCGAATAGCCGCTCCTCGTGCAACCAAAGCACTGGTAAGAGTGGAGCGCTCGTGTCCAGACCGTGCATGGCGAGGTTCTATTTCTTTGTTATTCTGTGTTAGTAAACACCGGGCTGTGGGGACAACAAGCTCGATAAAGCTCCCCCTATAGTTCGATCTCCTGCTCAATAGCAATTTGGCATTTTCTTTTTCTTTACCAGGATATACATAAAGAATTCAGCATGGAGACCGTAAGAGCTAACAAGCTTGCATACGAATTTTAGAGACTGTCACTAGACGCTGCATGTGCGCTTGCTTACGATCGTTGCGTACCGAGGAGGACCGCGGGCGGAGACGCCGAGCAAAGCTTGGAGACGCCTACAGACGATGGACACTTTCGCTTCCCCCTCGCAGCTTCTACTGAAAACGCGACCAGTAAACCACGTGACTCCGACCAAGCACTGCAGCAGCACCCTCGCCCTACCTTCATGAGGGCTGTGTTCCAAAATTTACTCGATCCGACTCCGGAGTAAAAGTTTCGTACCGTGGCGTTCCAAAACTTACTCGAGCTTACTCGATGACGTCAGAACTCGCGTTCCAGAAGCGGTTTGTTTACTCCGGAGTAATTACTCGCGCTACCCTCCTCGATCGGGGGGTAAAGTCCGATCAAACCGAGTAAATACGTCACGTGATTTGTTCGTCGTCTGCTTTCTGCGCCGACAGCCGTCAAAGTTCGCTTGCTCCGTTGGTTCTGGTGGCGGACGTTTGAAATGACAAAGAATTAGGTGCAGCATGTGTGGTTATGGCGATTTGCTGTTGTCAACGCAGGAATTGACTGCATTACATCCAGACCGTCCACCTTCCCCGGGAACGTGTACTTGTTATTATCTGAGTGCGAACGTAAACAAGAGCTTCTCCGTATCCTCGTCCTCGGCGTTGGGGGAATGCCGTATTCTGACGTCCAAGGCCGAAAATGTTTGAACTCGGTATATGATAATGTAGTATTTTTGTTTTCTCCAGAGTGTGTGTAGTGAGAGGATAACGTTTGTAAAGCAGTGAAGGCTTCGAAAATTTCACTGTAATCACATTCGCGTCAAAGCGAACGTGAGTTTCATATCATTCTGGAGAAAGCACCCTCGCGCTGTACCGCTACACCGTGTGGAATATATTTCTGCAAAACATAATCGGTGCAAATTACAATGCGTGGAATATATGCGTTTAGGGCACCGTGACTAGAATTGCAGCGATCGCGCTGATTAATAAAAACACATTTTTTTTATGTCTATACTTCGTTTCAGCTTCGGTCCAGACGCAGCCGATGCTACAAGCGCGAACATGTGGCCCAGAACAGTGCTTGCACTGCACGAGCGCGCGTGCTTGGCAGGGATGCTGAAAGCCCGGAGCTCGCGCTTGTAGCTTTGGCTGCGTCTGGACCGAAGCTGAAACGAAGTATAGCTGTAAGGAGTAAGTAATTTTGATCTCAATATACAGCTCAAAACGAAGGTTAGTAAAAGGAGCTGGTGGATCCACCTCAAAAAACACCGCGTCGTCATTAACATTGCCGTTCTTCGGGTGCTTTCTCCATGATAAAAAGGATCGTCTGCTATTTTCTGCCATCGCTGCTGCGTTTTCTTTTTGCCGTTGCCAAAGACGAAGCCAATCCGCGTAGTATCCAGGTGATTATCCTGGCCGTTCCAAAATCGAGTCGCGGATCGTTTACTCCATGTTTACTCGCGATGTCACGTGGTATTACCCGCTGACGTAGGAGGCAGGTCACTCGGGTAAGATTTGGAACATAGCCGAGGTGTTGTTCCACGTCATTTGCGTGGAACTCAGTCTGCAAAAACGTAATTTGCGTAAAACTCAATCTGCAAAAAAAAAAAAAAAGAAAGCGCGATTTTTTTTTGTTGTTTTTACATGTTTAAGCTGGGACTAGAAGCTCCGCTTTCAGCGCGTGCTCGCTGGCTTCCGCAGTGCTTTGGTTGCGCGTGCCTGCGCGTTCACACTCGTGCACGCGGAGCTAACGTCATGCAGCTGCGGTGGCGCTGTTGACGGCACTGCGCATGCGCAGACGCTTCGCTTCACACGAATTCGGTCTCTGCGCACGCGCAGTGCCCACACCTGGTGTGGGCAAACACGGGCTTGTTTGTAAACAGCGTGTCGGTCTATACTCCGCGACAACTTTTCTTGGCAATGCAGTGGAAGGTACAGGCCCGCGTCCCCTCTCCCATTTTGAGTGTGCGCGGGCTCTCCTCCTCTCCCCGGAAATGGGGGAGGAGGAGAGCCTGCGTACACTCAAAATGGGAGAGGGGACGCGGGCCTGTATAGACCTTTTCCACAAGGGCGCCGCCATCTTGAATTGTCGTCACTTCCAGTATGGGCGAAAACATTGTTTTGCCGTCGCCACACCAATAGAAGACATTTAGGATATAAGCCTAACCGTCACACATTCTCGTTTTGGCTCCCCTCTATTTTTTTGCTAGTTACAGGTTGAAACGTTTCATTATTTTGTCGTCGCCCATACTGGAAGTGACGACATTCCAAGATGGCGGCGCCCTTGTGGAAAAGGTCTATACACCAACTCATGTTTACCAACAAACCGGAGCGCCCCTAGCGGACGCCACCGGCGCCGCGCATGCGCGGTAGATGGTGGGCAAAAAGCCCGCCGTCGCCCATAAACAAACCATTGAATTGCGTTGTTGTCGGCGTCGGTGGGAGTCCCCGTGCTCTTTTTCGCGTTGGAATTGTTGATTCTACGTCCTCCTAACAATGTATGACTACTTGAGCGGCTTCAGAAAGACTAACGAGGCAAAAGTTTGCGTGAATAATGTGGCGTGCGGCGATTCATTTCACGTGGACGCCGCAGAATGGGCGCTACAGCCTGACTCCCACGATGAGATTCTGCTTGCTATTTTCAGTCGCGACGTCGCTCGGACTGCAAAAGCGTGGACCGTAGCTGATATGGTGGACGTCGATACTGAAAACCGCAAGTAGAATCGGGCATTACAAGTCGGTGATGGCCACTGGTAACAATGATCAACATCTTCTTGTATCTAGTTTACACTTAGCCTCCTCACCCCAACCAAGCTTCAAAAGTGTTTTGAGGCCTGCACTTAGTTCTTATCGCAATTACCGGGTCAACGTTTGGTTTACAGGCCGCTGTCGTTTGAAGGAGCTGACGACAAAAAGCAGCCATGCTTGAAAGAGCAGACGACAGTTCGAACGGATGCGCAATGGAGTGCGGGCAAGAAGCACCGCGTCCCGCGTCAACAAACCATTCGAATATCACGTTGTCGGCGTCTGTGTGAGTCTGCATACTCTTTTTCGCGTTGGAATTGTCGATTCTACGTCCTCATCGCAATGTCTTACCACTTCAATCGCCTGAGCGAAATTATCAAGGCTCGCTATGCCGCTAAACTTTCCGTAAATAATTTGACGTGCGGCGATTCATTCGCATGAACGCCGCAGAATGGAAGCCAAAACCATGATGAGATTCTTCTAGCTATTTTCGGTCGCGACGTCGCTCGTGCTGAAAAAGTGTAGAAGGCAACGGCGATGATCGACGTCGATACTGGAAATCGGAAGCGGGAACAGACCAAGCGTAACAAGTCGGTGATGGCCACCGGTACCAATGATCAACATTTTGTATCTACTGTTTCCACCGAGCCTGCTTAAGTCTTTTGGGGCCTGCAATTACTTGTTATTGCAATCACCGGGTCAAAGTTTGGTCGACGGGCCGCTTTTGTTTGAACGAGCAGACGACAAAAAGCAGACAAGTTTGAAAGAGCAGACGAAAGTTCGAACGATCAGGCGGCCGTGTGAATTTGAAGACGCACTGGGGGAACCCGTGGGTGGTCCGGACAACTTGGCAATTTTCTCTCGTTCATGTTGGAACAAAGCAAATACATCTGGCGACCACAAAGTGTTGCCCGCGCACGCAATCGTAGTTCGACAGCGTCTGGTTTGCCCTTTTCACGGCTACTATCCACGTTCTCGGACGAACGGAGGGGGCAAAAACACATGAAAACTGATCTTCAAACCTTTCCAGGTTCTCTTGGTACAACCCCCGTCGCAGCATCTTTACGAGAAAGCAGGTTTTTTGTCTCGTTTCTTCCAAGGGAACACAGAAATGCCTGTCTGGCACGGCGACTTCTGCCCACCGCCACAGACCGGAAGTGCGTCCGGCGCGCCACCACCGCGGCGTGACGTAGGAGAGTTGAGTTGGTGTATACTTCCACTGCATTGCCAAGAAAAGTTGTCGCGGAGTATAGACCTTTCCAGCGGCAGTCTCGAACGAAGCGAGCGGGCAAAAAATGCTGAGTCACTGAGCTGTGGACGCATGCGCAGCGTCCGATATACCGCACAGCAGATCAACAGCGCATGCTTGAAAGGCGTTCCACAGCCCAGCAGACAAAGATGGCAGCGCGCAGGAGGGGATTTCTGTAAAGGTCTATAGCGAGGGCAAAAAGCTCGCGCTGAAGGCGGAGCTTCTAGTCTCAGCTTAAAGGAGTCATGAAACAATATCGGGTTGAAATGTTCGTGACTTTGCAGAGGTGTGCTGGTCCTAGTCCGGCCCTCGTATAGTCTCGCGGACCACCAGTGATTCAGGAACTTCTCGGTCGCGGTGAAATTGTGAGGATAAAAGGGGTCTATTTCTGTCATTCATGCCTTCGCGAAGCTTGATGACGTGATTGTGGGATCAAAACCACCCGCCCGACGACTATCAAAAGCGGATCATTGATTGGACACGACAACTGCGTGAGCAATCGATTTCGGCTCGTAACAATCAACGCCTCGGCGGACACTCGGGTAGTGGCTCGTGTCCAACCACTGCGATAATGAGAATAGCCGATCTCTAACAATGCCTGGAGCTCAGCGTGCGTTTTCTCCTCTGCCCACCTCAGCGCGTGGCGATGATTAACGTTGACGGCATAGAATAAGCACCAGGACACGTGGCCACTTGTTCTGGCTCCGAGTTAATTGGATGAACGATGCTCATATTTATCGATTTTTTTTTGGCGACTGCCGTTGCCTAGAAAGAATAATTCAGGCTAGTTTATTCCGTTATTAACGTCAGAGAGTGATAGTATTTAGCGAAAGTAGAAAAATCGTTTCATGACCACTTGAAGGGTGAACGGAGTATAATATCTCATGTATGGCTTGAGTCAAGGTAATGTGAGTTATTGGCGACGTGCGCGATCGAAAGCGTCGCTGTGGTCGGCCTTTTACGATTGGCCGATTACTGATAATGACGTCAGCAAAGGTTTTCTCAGCGAAAGAAATAAGAGTAATGTAAGAACTTAAGTTTTGACGGTGTTGGCCGTGTTGCTTTCAGAACACAATGATTTCAAGCTTCCACCATGCTCAGTACAAACACCATCTAGATTGATTTTTGCCAGGTAATGACGTCACGAGACGAAACCATAGGAGGCGCCACAAAAACATCTCGTCGCCAATAGCCACCGACAAAATTGAACCGGCAGTGCGTCTTTTCTGTACGCCAGGCCTCGTTGCCTAGCTTCATTGCCTAGCTTCATTTGGGCTTTGGCTGTGTTTGCAGGCTCAAGGTGCAGATGGTTTATCGAAGGTAAGTAACGCTGCTCGAGTGGGGACAACTGAAGGGCTTCCCAGACACTCTCATCTGGTCAGTGACTATTGCACGTAAACGTTTCTGCGCGTCCCACGACGATGCCCAAAGTTTCAGCCTCTTAACGCCTCCTGGAAACCTCATGGCAGAACCACTCCGATCTCGCCACGTTTCAGGCGAAGAGAAGCAAAGCGCCCGAAGTGTCCGGACCCGCTCCACGCGGCGTGAAGAGGAACCCACCCGACATCGCCCTGGCTCCCCTGTCCGAGGAGATTTGCCGGACCAGCACGGCCTGGGAGCGGATGAACAAGACGGTCGACTCGTTCGGCAACGCCGTCGAAGTGGTACAGGACGAGGCCTTCCCCCAGTGGGTCTTCGCCTACCGTTGCGCCACTCAGGGAACGACCTGCGTGGGCATCGACGCCCTGTGAGTATAGAAGACTTTGACGCGTGTGTTCTGACAATAGCGCCTAGAAGACAAGTCCTACGACTTTCCTCCTCTAAAGCCGCGTTCAGTAACGCATCATGCAGAAGAGAGTCTGCGGACATCTTTGGAGGTGTGTTTCTTCTTTGTACGATGGTCACATTCGGCCTACAAAAACTGCCTGCAGACAAGTTCGACAAGTTTGCCCGAAGCAACAAAATGGCCGCCGACCCCTGACCTACAAGATCAAGGCAAACACGGAGCACACATTGAACACCAGTGCCGCGTCAGCGTTTGGCTGAAGCTCGTGTTCTCACTGATTGAACACGAATCCCTCCCGAAGCTGGCGCAGCACTCGTGTCTCATCCATGATTTGTGTTGGCCTCTTGCAGGCGACGGCAATACTTTAGCACTACGGCCTTGCTTTCTAAGACGTGTTGGGTAAACAGTCCAAACACGTCTCAGTGAATAATGCCTTTAGCCGGCTCCCAGGTTTGCTTCCAATAAGCGTAAGCAAATCTGGGAGCCGGATAAGGCTAGCGCGTGAATCACTGAAACGTGTTTACCCGAGCCAACACCTCCTAGATAACAAAGCCGTAGTGCTGAATGAGATGGCGTCATCGGAAAGACCAACGCTGAACACAGATTGTAAGCGAGTGGTGCATCAGCACTCGGCTTCGAGTCAAGTTTGAGCCGAACCTTGACGCAATCGTCGTGTCCAATCTGTGCCCAGCGTTGGCCTTCGCCGATCACGCCATTTCATTCAGCACTAGGACTTTTGTTATATAGGAGGTGTTGCCTGAGCTTCGCTTCTCTGCCCTCCCCCCTTTCCTCTGTTTGCCCCCATAAACCGGGCGATGCGACGTCTATGAAAGCGGCCCAATTAGAGTGCCGAAATCAGCCCTTTTGCCTCAATCCACAAGCTTTTCCTTTCCGAATATCGTTCCCGGGCTCAGTAACTATTGCTCCATGCTCTTCCCGTAGCTAGGTCAGTGATTTACTTCCCGAATGCTCTGAGAAAAGATGGACCCACGGGAGCTTTCGAGTGGCGAGGATTCTATATAGTTTTGAGAGTACGTGATGGTATTAATCCCCTGCCTTTCCCCGTTCCTCTTTCCCCTTTGTGTCTCCTTCATGCGCACACACAGGTATGACAGTGAATGCACGGAACGACCCGGTTTCATGATTCTGTACCATCGGAAGATCGGCACCGACGACAACACGCCGTCCTGGGGAGCGGTCGAAGTGCCGCATCACTGCACCTGCAAGATCACCCCCAAGGTCCTCCCTGAAGCCAGATGAACTCCGAGCTGAATATCTTCCGCCCGGTACGCATGTTTGTGTTCTTGTTAAACTTTACCAGCGACCTACTCTACAGAAACTTCGGAACTACCCGGAAGGTGGGGGGAGGGGGGGAGCAAGATTTTCTGGCCCCTCCATCGTATTGTTTACGTGAAATTCATCTACATGTATAAGGGGGGGAAGGGGAGAGGCCATTACTCTTCCTTCCCTTTGCCGCCCCTGCCCTGCTCCGACGCCAACCAACCTTTATCTTCAAAGTGGGTCATATCCATGCTAAAGAAGACGCGGCAATTTTTTAGAGCGCAGCTCTTAGGGGCCCGTTCCCGGCTTGATCGGCGTCGCCGTCGCCGTCGGCGTCGGCGTCGGCGTAACCAAGGTCATCCCAAGGTCACGTGACCCCCAAGGTCACGTGACCCCTCCCAAGGTCATCTCAAGGTCACGTGACCCCACGTGACCCCCTGAAGGTCACGTGACGCCTCGAGGTCACGTGACCCCTCGAGGTCACGTGACCCCTTCCAAGGTCATCTCAAGGTCACGTGACCCCAAGATGACCCCACGTGACCCTTCGAAGGTCACGTGACCCCCAAGTCACGTGACCCCTCTGAGGTCACGTGACCCCCGAGGTCACGTGGTCGCCTCCCCAGGGTCACGTGACCCCCGAGGTCACGTGACCCCTTCCAAGGTCATCTCAAGGTCGCGTGACCCCACGTGACCCCCAGGTCACGTGACCCCTCTGAGGTCACGTGACCCCCCGAGGTCACGTGACCCCTCCAGGTCACGTGACCCCAAGGTCACGTGGGGGTCACCTTTGGGGTCACGTGGCCTTGAGGTCACCCCAAGGTCACGCCTCCCCGAGGTCACGTGACCCCCTCCCCGAAGTCACGTGACACCCCCCCCGGAGCATATTAAAGAATGAGGGGAGGAGGAGGAGAAGGGGGAGGGGTCTACCCTCCCCTCAGTACCCTTCACTCCTCCTCCTCAAGAGCTGCGCTCCAATTCGGCGTTACAGGGATTTGTAAACGGCTTTCACTTTTTTTTTCATGACTTGGTATGTAGCGAAAAATTAATTTAGATAACGAAGCCTCTAAACTTCAAGCAAAATATTTTTCGTGAAAAAATAAATGTTATTTTTTGCGGGTATCATGCTTTAAATTTCTCAAATTTGCATCAAATTTCTATGTATTTAAAAAACACACAATGAAAAAAAAAACATTTGTTACCACACAAATTTAGGTGTGCAGCTAATTACTTAATAATATGCCCTACCTTACTTCCAAATACAAATATTAAAATACGCTTTTTCTAGTCTTAATAACTCCCCTCCCCCCCTCCCCCCACCCACCAAAAAAAAAAAAAAAAAGACGTTGTGAGACTTTTTTTTGTCAACTTGAATTTGGGGTTAGGTAAAATACTTTTTTGCTTTGTTCTCATAAGGCTAATAATAGATTTGCTTGTATTAGCTTTTCGGAGCCTCGATTTGTTGCGGTTTAGTTATATGACAAATCTTCAGTTTATGCAGAAACAGCCCTATTGAAGGACATACGAAACAATGTGGGCAGCAGTGCCCGGAACTTTCGAAATAGCCAAAAGTTCAATTACCCTCATCTATTCAGCATAAAAAAACAAAAACAAAAAAAACACACTAAAGTTATTTTTGTTCTTGCTGATAAATTATTATTATTTTTTTTTTTGTAAAGATGAGCATACTCCGACCATGACTCCAGGCGCCCGCCTTGTAGGTGACACACGCCGGCGTTCGCCAGCGAGGCGTCGTGACTCCGTGTGAGATGCCGCCGCAAGGTCTCCAACGCTCTCCTGAAAAGCTAAAACAGGTTTTATTTAGTTGAAGTGGACAGTATCCTGACTTCCATGCATCCGTATTCTCTTTGCGTTACCTAATGATACTGCCGTCTTAATTTTACTCTACTTCTGCCCAGGTAGCTGCCAAAGAACGCGGGCCTGCATCGTCTGCTTCCCGAGTTTGGGAATGCGTACTGCGCGTCGGCCTCGTCTGTCGTATGTCCAGACATGAAAACAATTCAGACCGGATAGCTCTTCACCAATGCGAAATGATAACGGTGATGTCGCTTTCCCATGAAACTTAAATGTATGTCGATAGAATATGTAGTGCTACCAAAAACAGTGTATTGATAAAAAAAAAAAAAAAAAAAGCATTTTATTTTTTGCGGTGGACGCCTCACACGCCTGAGGTTCCGTTCATGGGCAGTTTTTTGACTCCGGAATACAATGGGAGGCCAGCAGGGCATGTCTCGAATTCTGAAATCACTAGCATCTTTAGAGAAAGTGTTTGATAAGAGGTGGGAGTTACACGGGTGCCGTCTTCGCCATCTAAGTGTCAGACTCGGCGGACATTAGATGAGGTAATAACCTTCATAGTAAGCCGGTTTATGAAACAAATTGTTGATTGCATTTTTAATTAATAGTTTAAATGATCATGTTGCAATTGCAGTATTGACGCCGACTACTCTCAGAGGCTTGACCAATTGACATAATTTGAAAAACGGGTAATAGTTTCTTAGATGCTATATATTGATAGTTTTCGCGTTTTTACTCCCAATTTCAGTATTGCTCGCTAAAAAATTGCCACAAGCCCTGCCCACAATGAAGCTTAAAAGAGTGTCGTAGTCATTTTCATGACGTCGTCACTATCTCGACAGCGCGTCCTTGGTGAATACGGCAACGAACTTCAATACATCTTAGTTCTATCAAAATGCATTTATGCTCAATGAGGAAGTGACGTCACTGTTATCATTTTTCACCGGTGAAGAGCTATCCGGTCTGAATAGAACTTTCGCTAAATTTCCCAAGCATCAAAGAGAACGTGGGGGACCATAGGTGCACGCGCTGCACGTGCTCACCTTCCATTTGGAAAAAAGATTATAAGTAAAGAACCAAAATAAAGCGTCCATGGAACGCGCGTGCGAAGTTTCTTTTGTTTGAGATTTTTGCTTTCGAACAGTTAGAGCTAGAGCCACTAAGTGAGCTACGCTTAGAGTATCGGCACTCCGTTCCCCGACATTGTTCTGGGCGCCGCCATTTTGGCTCGTATGCAGAGCAGACGCAACTGCCGATCGTCATGATTCAAAAGCGCGTCATCTTCAGCATAAGATTCAGTGTTAGGAAGGTCATGTAATACTGCTTTACTTTGTCGCGAAGTGTTTAAACATTTGTGGAAGGCAGAAAAGCGTTTCCTGTGATTTCAGATAAAGCTTCAGATAACTGGCAACCATGATTTTAAGACACAATATGGCCAAGTGCCGTTACTCTGAAGTGTAGCTTATTGAGTGGCACTAAGCTACGCTTAGAGTGTCGGCACTCTGTTCCTCGATTTGGTTGTGGGCGCCGCCATCTTGGTGCTTAGTACAGAACAGACGCAACATGCCGATTGTTATTATTAAAATGTGCGACGTACTCAGCATTAGGTTCGGTGTTAGGGAGCTCGTGTAATATTTCTTTGCTCTGCCGCGAACTGTTCAAACATTTGTGGAGGACGAAAAAGCGTTTCATATGATTTGAGATAAAGCTTCAGATAGCTGGCAACCATGAATTTAAGCCACACGATGGGTAAGTGTCATATACTCTGAAGCGTATACCTTATTTAGTGGCACTAGTCAGAGCTGAAAACGTATCTATGTTCCCGTTTTTTTTTTGTTTTTTGGATGTTTGGGTAATTCGGCAAAACGTCAATTGTTTTTATATCTAAACATACGGCAGACCATGCCGACGCGCAGTATGGATTCCCAAGCTCAGGAAGCAGGCGATGCGGGCCTACGTTCGTCGGCAGTTACCTGGGCAGAAGTAGAGTAAAATTACGACGGCCAGTATCATTATGTAACGTAAAGAAGATACGGATGCATGCGAGTCAGGATAACGTTCCTTTAAACTGAATAAGACGTGTTTTCAGGAGAGCGTTGGAGACCTTGCGGCGGCGTCTCACACCGTTGACGCCTCGCTGGCGAACGCCGGGTCGCGTCACCTACGAGGCGAGCGACTGGATGCATGATCGGAGAAGCTCCTCTTTAAAAGAAATCATTCGTCAGCAAGAACAAAAAGTACTTTTCTAATTTTATTATATGTTGAATAGATGAGGTGAACTAAACTTTTGGCTATTTCAAAAGTTCCGGGCATCGCTACCCACATGACTTTAATGGCTCTCAGTAGGGCCGTTTGTGCATAAACTGGAGATTTTTTATTTAATTAAAACACAACCAAAACGAGACTTTTAAAACTTAATACGAGCAATTTAATTCTTCTTCTTAAGAAAACAAAGGAAGCAACTATTGTAGTTAACTCCCAAATTCAAGTTGACAGGAAAAAACTAAGAAATCTCAAAAAGTTTCTTCTCTTTGGGACTCCTATTAGGACTCAAAATGGCGTCTTAGCGGAGAGATTGACGTGACTTGAGGTGATGACGTCAAGGGACACCACGCCTTGACAACGTGATGTCAGGTCACGTGGCGTAACGACACGGTTTCGTCGAAGTGTCAGCTGACGTCATGACGACACGTGACCTCACATTTCGTGGCCATGCGATGCCATCATATCACGTGACGTTAATTTCCCTTAAAAATTTAGCGAGGAAATGAACGGACGGGCCAACTGACAAATTTCTGAGATGGGGGGCTACGATTTAAAAATTCACCACTAAAACGGGCTTCCCTCCTACGCCACTCAACAAAAAGAGGAAATCATTGAATCAGTGGTCACCAAGGCCATGATCCAGTGCATGACTATATAGAGTGCAACGAGTGTTTTCAGACCGTTGTATAAATATAGCGAGTTAAATGAATCGTTTCTGGAAAGTGCTATTTGTCCCCGGTGTTCGCATGCATGAATTTTAGCTGACACCATCTCTCTATGCCTGCAATGATGCATCTGCACTGAGTGGCGCAGATGCATCATTTCAAGATACCGGTAGATTGAGAAGCTTCCCTCTTTGTAGAAACTTTCAAAGGAGGCCTCATATATGCGTTGCTGTTTTGGGCTTACTATTTCGTCTGACAACTTTGTGTGCGGTGTTATTAAGGACCCTGAAGTGAGAGTCCAGATTTGCCAAGTTTATTTTGTGAGCCTATACTCGCGGCAAAGAAAGCGCCTTGTACAGCCAGATGATGTTCAAATACAGCGTAAATGATGAACGCTCGATCGCGCCGACGTGTGCTGCAACAACAAAACAGCTCTACTTAGTTTTCTTTTGTGTGTGAAAACGCGAACAGATATAGTACAATCTGGTTGACCAGCCACTGTTTTGAGATCAGATTGAAACTGATGTTTCACCGATCAAATCGTCGGTGAAACAATTTAGAACCATAGTTATTGACAGGGTAAGAACGGAAGGGAGGTTCTTTAGTTGTTCCGCCTCCAGCGCGGGCCTCTTACCTCCGATAACGCCTCCGTGTCCCGTAAGCCTCGGAGCGTGCACGCGCTGCCGAAGCATGACGGAAGGCACGAGCGCGCACTTGAGGCCGGCTTTATAAGTGGGACGCCCCTGCGTCCTCGTCCTATCAGGGACAATGACGTCATTAGGCTTAAAACCTGCCATGTCTACTCGTCAGATTACACGTGCCCTTGACATTGCTTAAGATCCGTCATCTCTTATGGTATTCTTCGTTTTTCTTTTTCTTTTCAGGAAATGGAGCAGAAAAAAGACAAAAAAAAAAACAACAAAAAAAGACATCACACCGAGAACCGCGTATGCATAAAATGAAAATAAACCCCTTCCGGTTCGTCCGGTGCACTCCATGACGATGTCTTCTTTTGAAAACAGATTCCGTGTTGCCATATGGTCGCCGAGAAAGAGCGGCTTGGCCACTGTTCCGACCCTCAAGCACGCAGGCACGTAGCCGGGGGGGGGGGGGGGGGGGGGGGGGCGCCCATGCCCCCCCCCCCCCCAGAAATCTTCCATTTCGTTGGGGCCTCCTCTCCCCCCTCCCCTTTCCCCTTCATACTGTATTCTGTCATGGGCGCCCCCCCCCCCCCCCCCCCCTTCTTCCCCCCGAAACAAAATCCTGGCTACGTGCCTGCCTGTGTACACCTTGTCGACTTTCAGCAGGCTATGGCTGGATGTGGCCGTCATTGAATTCGCAGCAGAGCAGCCTGTTGTGCTATCGGAGAGCACTGCTGTGATTTTGCTCATCAGCGTCCGTTTTTGGCTCCCGAGACTCATCATAGGATGGCATCGTAGAAATGGCGAGGGGGTGAGGGAGACGATCTATAGGAGAAAGAAGGTTGGGCGTGCAGAGAGTGATATGAACATCTGGGTCCGTCAAAAGCCTCAGGCTCCGAAGTTCAATGCGGTAAAGGGGGCTCTATATATAGACCTTTCCAATGCTTATAGAATCACAGTGCAGCGTGCGATCGTCACAGCCCAGCACGTGCGTATTCGTCGCTTCGGAAAGCGAGCAAAACATGCGCCATACGCACGAACACTCAAAAAGGCACCGGTCACTACTCACAAGCTTTTTTTTTTTTTTGGAAAGGTCTATTACACGAGGACAAGTTTTTCTGTCACTTCGCGAGCACAGCTGTGATCGACGCTCAATGTAGCACATGGCCGCGGCCACACCGTTTGGTCAGACCGTGACTTCGCGGCGCTGCATAAAAGGCTTTGTTGTTTCTTACGGTTTGCGCATATCAATCGAAGGCGCGCAAGGCGCGGCGGCGTTCTCTGCTCCTGACCTGCTCTCCTCGCGGACCCTTGTCAGGCCATCAACCTCGTTAGTCAGTGTACGCGTGGCAGATTTGAACAGTCAATAGAAGCGCTGGCTGGCAGTACCCCAAGTGAAAAATTTTTTTTTGCAAGTGATACCACTTGCAAGTGGTTTATTAAACAGGTACCAGTAGGAAATGGTACCACTAGGAAGTTGTACCACTAGCAGGTACCACTTCCTAGTGGTACCACTTGCGAGTGGTACCATTGTTATATAGATGCACAAAAACAAAGCCAGATGTTAGTCTTTCTTACTTTTAATTTGCAGTTGAGAGCGCTTGTAGAGCAGAAGTACTAGGGCTGATGAAGATTAAAAATCCCCAAAACCCAGGTGCCTCCGAGCTTTTCGGGAGTCCTGGATCTTTTGTGACAGGACTGTCGACATTTTAGTGATGACTTGCTGAACAGGCACCTTGTTCTGATGTCTCCAATGATGCACTGCTTCTGCAAAGACAACAGAAAAATACTAATCTAATAACAGCTCATGTGGATACAGCAGGGCCGTACCCAGAAAAAAATTTCGGGGGGGGGGGGGGGGGGGGGGGGGGGGGTTTCGGGGACAACGGCGGCCATATTGAAAGTGCCTATCGTCTTATTTTCGCTTATGAATCATGTGCATCGGTGGCATATAATGGAGAGTTACAGCAAACCGGAGAACCGGTCCCGGTTCGGTACCCGGTAGCCGACCGGCGCCACTGCGCGTGCGCAGCGGTGGAGATTAAAATCGGCTGGCTGCCAGTGCACCGACCGGGGCCGTACCCAGAAAAAAATTTCGGGGGGGGGGGGGGGGGTCAGAACCCCCTAACCCCCCCCCCCCCCCCCTGGTTACGGCCCTGGGATACAGTCATATGATTGAACAGATTGAACTCATTTACCTATGACAAGGCCAACTTTGAGGGGACTCCGTTCCTTCCGGACCACCACATTTTGTTTTTGTTTGTCCTTCTGTGCCACCTTGCCCCCAAAAGTCGTTCGCGCAAGTCCCACGCGACCCCAAATCGCTAGCGCCATGTCTTTGGCTACCATAATTGGTTTGGTCTGCTTCATTATTTTTTCTGCTTGATAGGAGCCGATGGTGGTGCCCAGATTGGTCGGAACGGCCGGAACTGCCAAGTCCCGAAGGGTAGTCTAATAAAATGCTTAGGTGGGCCAGTTTGTACCATCATGGGAAATAAGCGCCAAAAAAACAGGGACAAAGAGAAGAATAACAACGACACAGGGCGCACTCTCAACTGAATTTATTAGGAAAAAACACAAACTTGTATACCAACGGGAGCACACCATCAGACACCACACGTCAGGTTAGTCCCCGCCCAGACCACGTTTCAAATATTCAAACTCATCCGTAGACAGAGCCAGAGATGTATCGCTGATGCATTTTTCACCCCTACTCCTAATCTAAAATGCATCGTGAAGCTCGCGTTACATTCTGTTTTTGTACTTCGCCAATATTTTAGTGCTGTCAAATGACGGGGCGCAACCGCATCTGTTGCAATGTACAGCCAAATGCCCTGACGGTGTGGTTCTAGTTGAAGCGGCGTGCTCGCGGACCCGATCATTGATACATCTTCCAGTTTGCCCTACATAGCTTAAACCACACGTCATTGGGATTTCGTAAACGACGGCGGTTGTGCAATCAGTGTATTTATTCCTATGCTTGGTATTGCACGGGTCCGTTATCGGTTGGGGGTCATTGATTCTCCTGCATAATCGCGACATTTTGTTAGGTGGTGAAAATACGACCGGGACATTATAGCGCCCAGCCACCTTCTTAAGATTATGGGAGACACCGTGCATATATGGTATCACCAAAGGCCGTAGGTTGCTCTTTTCGCGCTGTGGTTTCTGCGTCCCCTTGAACTTCTTTATCAAGCTCCCAGCCACTTCGACCAACGAGCTCGTTGGGAAATCCCCTTTTCGCAGACGATCTACTCGTCTAAGAAGACTATCCTAGGCGCTATGCAGGCAAGACTTTCTGAGAGAAGCCTCCATACACGAGCTCGCGATGCCTCTCTTTACGAGCTTGGAGTGGCAGGAATCCAAGGGAAGGATCCCCTTCTTAGATCTAGGGGAGTACTCCCAGCAAATATGCTCACCTAGAAAACTGAGCTTGAGGTCAAGAAATTGCATAATTCCGTCTTTAGGTGCCTCGTGAGTAAATGACAATCCGTAGCATGTGGTGATACCATATATGCACGGTGTCTCCCATAATCTTAAGAAGGTGGCTGGGCGCTATAATGTTCCGGTCGTATTTTCAGCGCCTAACAAAGTGTCGCGATTATGCAGGAGAATCAATGACCCCTAACCGATAACGAACCCGTGCAATACCAAGCATAGGAATAAATACACTGATTGCACAACCGCCGTCGTTTACGAAATCCCAATGACGTGTGGTTTAAGCTATGTAGGGCAAACTGGAAGATGTGTCAATGATCGGGTCCGCGAGCACGCCGCTTCAACTAGGACCACACCGTCAGGGCATTTGGCTGTACATTGCAACAGATGCGGTTGCACCCCGTCATTTGACAGCACTAAAATATTGGCGAAGTACAAAAACAGAGTGTCACGCGAGCTTCACGAGGCATTTGAGATTAGGAGTAGGGGTGAAAAATGCATTTGCGATACATCTCTGGCTCTGTCTACGGATGAGTTTGAATATTTGAAACGTGGTCTGGGCGGGGACTAACGTGACGTGTGGTGTCTGATGGTGTGCTCCCGTTGGTATATAAGTTTGTGTTTTTTCCTAATAAATTCAGTCGAGAGTGCGCCCTGTGTCGTTGTTATTCTACTCTTTGTCCCTGTTCTTTTGGCGCTTATTTCCCATAGTAGTCTAATAATCCGCCAATGGTTCTTCGGGCTGTTCATATATCGCTGGCGGAACCGATGATGCTCCAGGCCCATGTTGCTCGACTTTTCATAGTGCGTACTGCGGGTGTCGGCAGCCTCCAATTGGTAGACGTCTCTCGTCGGAGTTCTAGAAGCGGCGGCCGCTAACGTCGTTGCTGGCGACGGCACAGCGACAGCGCGGGATGAAGGCAATGCGTCGAAGACCGGTTGACCCTCCACTCTCAGGCATTGGCGCAGCAGGGGTGCTATGTTGCGCTTTTGGACTCCCAGGAGACTAGGGAGAAGGAAGTGACGTCAACGACAAGCAAACGCAGATTGGATGTTGACAGAAGAAAACGAAATCAACAACCGATCTGCGTTTGCTGCGTCGTTGACGTCACTTCCTTCTCCCTAGTCTGCTGGGAGTCCAAAAAGCGCAACATAGCACCCCAGGTATCGATGACATTCCGAGGGCAGTGCGTGAGCACCACATGCTCCCATGAAACATTCGAAGAGCGATATCCATCGTTCCAAGGGATTTCCGACTTCCCTGGTTCACTCAAAACGTCTTGAGAAAGTTTGATGACGAATCCGCCGTCCATTCCGCCATCAAAAGAATGTGGAGTCCTCGGTGGACCCGGCGGGTCGGGAAAGAACGTCCAGTCACCTTTGCTGCTCTCATGAGACTTTATTCAAAAATGATGATGGTGAAGAAGAAGTAAGTGAATAGCGCACAGAAAAGAAGACGAAGTTATCCGAATATATGAAAATATAGACGCTTTCAGGGCAGCTGTGCATGGGCGCCGCCATAACCAACCTCCAGCTTTCGTTCCCTCTTATTCCGTTCGCTCCACTTCATTATTGCCACAGCAAGACAGGTTGTCGCCATCTTAGGCGTTACTGCGTCCTTCTCCCCAGCATAGGCCTTTCTGGAGGCTTGTCAACACCCGCTTGAGGTGCTTTGCATCTCGGTAAGACAAGAGAAGGTCGGCTATGGTGGCTGAATTCGGCGCGCGCTGAAACCGTCTGTTGGGAGTATCCACTGGACGCCATATTTGTGGGTGCTGTTTAGAGCGCATGTTCAGAACGAGCTCACATCAATAGGCTGCTAAGACCGACACTCT